AGCCCACATAATTAACAGAAATGCCGACCGTCAGACCATCGGGCCTTCAGGGGGAATAAAAATAGCCAGACCCCTCGTGACAAATCCCTTGGCGTTACGCTCGATTCACGATGCTCGTGCTATTTTTATGCCACTCTTAGTTCAACTCCACCCACCCAACTTCGCGGAGAGTCGTCATCAAAGGCCAGCAACAAGAATGTGCTGCACTCTTAGTGCACATCCCAAAAGACAGCCCCAAAGCAGAGGAGTGGCGACAATTCTTGGAAGTGGAGACGGCGACTACGAAGACCCCCAATGTGCAGCATGCCCCAGATAGGCATCAAAGACAGCTCTGCAGTGCAACACAAGTGCACAGGAAGAGGAGCTCGAACCCCCATGTCAGCAGACGACTCTACATCCACATAGATGGCTACCATATGCGCGAGCAGTCTATTTTTAAAACTACTAGGGGGGAATTGGCTCCCATTCGAACATCGGTTCCATCAGTTCCAGACCCATCCCATGTATGAGTAATGCGCTTTGAATGCGACAGTTGCCTGCACTCCTCTCCTCTCCTCCCCATCCCACCCAACCATCCACTGCACTCCACTCTCTGCCCATCTGTTTAGCGTGTGATGCGCTTCTTTTGTGTTCCAATTTGAAACATTTGTTTATGTTTATGGCATGGCTTCGCCCGCGATTTATGTGGATGGCTTCGGGCCCGGCATACTCCACATGTATTTCACACATATCTCAGGATATTTTTATCAAAACACTTTTCGAAATCGCTTTTCACGCTGCGAGTTGTGGGAATTGCAGTTGGCCCCACGAGCTTTTTCCCGCTTGTTATTGGAACAATATTTTGAGTGTCTCGAAGTGTCGGCCTATTAATGGGCCTTATGGATGTTAAAGGTGCATTCCGCCCCAGAGTGCCGTGTGTGCCGCGTTTACCTGCTGCGAGAATGATCTTGTTGGGCAATCGTTGGAAATCTATGAGCACCATTCCCGCAGATTGAAAAAGCGCTTTGGCCCATTTGAATAATTTGTTGAAATTAATTTGGTCGCATTGAAACATACTTAAGTAAATTGGAGGTGCTATTAGCTCTCAACACTCCAAATAATATTAGCATTTAAAACTCATGTACAGATGACATTTATAGGTGTTTTTTGTGTGAACGATTACCAAGATGCTTTCGCCTGTCGCTCTAAAATTCAGGTCCCCATAATACGGGGTGGACTAAAAAGATCCCGTTCTAATCTACTGTAAGCACCTCAACCATCCACTTCGTACAAAACAATTAATTTTTTCCATACAATTTTTGACGATCAGTTTCTGATCAAGCCTTGTCCGCCTTTACCCAAGCTTTCCCCGCTACAGCCAAGCAACTGAAATGATCTGTGTTGTACCAATCCGTACTATCCTTTTCATAATCCACTATGTCATATGCACCGATGCGCGCTGAGGGAGGTTCGCCAAACTAATCTCAAATACTATCTGACGAGCGACATGAATTTTCTCATTACTTGTATACTTGCACATCCTAACTCCTATATGATACAATCTTTTTGAAAAATGTCCCTTCATTCCATTAAAGGGCGCAGTGGAAACGAATTCGGAGATCTCAGTGGCGGTTGTGAACAAAGTACGAAGGACTAAGCTGTTTCAGAGCATTGGCAGCCTTCGTAGACAGAGCAAACAGACGACTAAGGGCTTCTCGATTGAGGGGTTGGTGCTGCACATATGCAGTAATATCGTATATACTTCATATATACTATATATACAATTTTTTGTTTGCGCACTCAACGGACGCGTGGCACAAGCAACACAGAGGAGGGAACTGGTAACAGACCTCCGTTGCATTCCCCATAAGTCACGCAGTCTGTCAATCTCCCTCCTCTACTCCAGCAAGTACAGTCATGGCCAGAGCCCGCATATAGTCCGGTATACGCACACAATTGCCGGGGGTAGCTTTGTGCGCAACAGTAAGTTGATTGATATTGTGGATTTTAAATTATAATTATTGCCATTACCCTCGGCCCGAACGAAATGACTTTGACACCAACCTCCAATGAGTGGCAACAGAGAAGCTGTTGTTGTTGCTGCTGCTGCTGCTGCTGCATTGTGGGACACACCACGGCATATGTGAGGTGGACAATTGCAACGGAGAATGATGGATCATCCAGTAGTCGGGCTGTCGAACATCGTCGGCGTACTCGTATTTTGAAAAACACGCAAAGGGTCGTATGCATCTCGATGGAACAGCGGGTGTGTGCACATACATACATACATATTCGTATGTGTGGGTGTGTGTGTGTGCGGGCGTGTGCGTGTGGAAGGTTGACTGGCACAGGATATGCGTGTCATCGGGCTAAGCGTAAGCGTTACTTAGCTACTTGAACGTCGGGGCGCAGAGCGCTCGTAAATAAACAAGAGGCTTGTGGAGTTTCTCTTTGCTGCTCTGTGACAGCCACCGGGGTGTGGTGTGCGGGTGTGGTGTCCGTGTGCCGTCGGTGTGAGCAGCTCCCCGAACATTCCTGTGACACGCACAGACCGCGCAGGCCACGCACATTGTTCCTTTGCTTATTTAGGTCATGTTCTTCCGTTCCGTTCAATTCAATTTCTGTCTCGTCATTCGCTCTTTTACCCTCGCATTAATGGCAAATCTCATTTAAATAAAGGTTGCTCTGCCGTACGAAAGGACATCATCAAATTGTGTTTGCCAATGTCTGTCGTTGTCTGTTTGTACTCTGTTTTGTATCTAAAATGAATTTATAATTGGCAGCAAAGCTGCTTGAAATGCCGCGATTATGGTATTAATTACTCACTGCATACACCGAGAGGGACCGGCAGTTAGTTAACAGTTAATGGAGTTTCAGAAATAAGGTTTTGACTCCCTCCCCGCCACGTTCCTGTCACTCAGCGTTTTCGGCTCGTAAATTCTTTAGCATGTCATGCGCCGGCGCACGTGCAGACTCGAGTCCCACCCATTTACACTCTCTAACACCTCCCCCACTCCCCTCCACACACACACACACACTCATGTGCCACAGCTTGTAAATAAAGAAGAACGCACATGCCACGCCCCTGTATTATCGCGCAGTCTCTCAGTTGAAAACCAAAGGCGCGTTAATTGTTTAGCCTGACAGACAAAGGATCCAGAGGGAGCAGCTCAAGTGAACAACACATGGAAAATTGATTTCCTTGTCTGCGGGAACGCTGGAAAAGTTCTTAAACACATCACCATTGCCATCCTCAACCATCTGACAAAAGAGAATATTTTAGAACGGCTGGATCAATGCAATTACAAATTGTTTGGGTGAGGCGCAGGACAAACTAATTTCATTTATTGTCAGTCTGTCAGCCTGATGAAACAATGATCTAAGATCTATAATTACCTAGTCTGGGGTTTTTTGTTGTTCTTTTAAAATATACGGTCCTGTTCTGAGCTTCATTCAAATTTCGAAAGCAAGTTTCAAAAAGTTAGCTTCAGCTAAAGCTATTTTCCAATCACTGTTTTTCGCAACAAAAGTTAAAACGACCATAGTTCGTTATTTACTAGCAATAGGTCCTTTTGTACATATATTTTCCGACTTGATAACGATTTTTTAAAATCTTTATTCTTTATTTAAGATCTTTCCTAGGTTGGACCAATTATTAAACGAAGGAACGAGCTCACTTTATTGGACTCCTGGTAGCTCGTTGAGCTATGCCAAGACCCCATTAAAGATTGAAAACATTTTGTGGAAGTCGAATCTAATAATTTTGCACATTCCAATTCGAATGAGAAACAGGGCCGGTAAGTAAGAGTTTGGACATTTACTTTTATGCGTGTTTTGAAATACATTTAGAACTATCTTTCGATTTGAGATATCAAGTATGTATATTGTTTTATTTAATTCGAAGAGTACTAATATGTTTGCAATTGTGCAATAGAATGTTCTCTAACACATTTTTTTAACAAAGCAAATATAAGAAGCCTTTTAGTTTACTTCAATTTGTTGAGAATCAAAACAGGAAAATGCAGTTCTATTCTTCACCACGTCTCACGCCGAAACGTATTTATTTCGACAGCATATTATGCCCTAGATTTTCATATTTTCTACGACATGAATCAACAAGCCACTTCACATTCCTTCGCTCAAACTATCCAACGAAAGAATCGCATAAATATTTTCTAATTACAACATTAATTATGTAGTTAAGCTATCCGAGCTGGCGAGCAGAAAGCAGCCAGACTGGACACGCACATCTTTACAAAAATGGGAGCGCGTTCCCAACAACTTTGTTAATGTTGTGGGCAGCGCCGACTGGGCCCCACAGCACCGACTATGAAGGCACACATGCGTTCGTCTGGTAATGTCCCGTAATGAAGATAAATTTGCGTGCCTTGTACGCAACATAAGCACCGCCCGCCTCACACTACTCGGCAACAATACGGACAGGAAACAGGTAGAGATTTGGTCTGTTGCTCGGACAAAGTTAATTAAATAAATGCACAGCACGACAGGCCTGAAAGAGGACAGGACGGTTGTCGCAAACAAGGACATGGCCGGCCAGCAAGTCTTTTGTTCTGCAGCACAACTGAGGGAAAGGACAAACCGCTGCGCTGCTTACGAAGAGTGTCAAGAATTGTGCGTCGTGCCTGTGCCAGTTTGCGCGGCCGTGCGACTTGTTGACGTGGCCAGAGCCGCACGCAGGAATTACTACACATTTAGTCTCTGAGCGCGTACGCAGTAATCGCCGTAATAGCTGCGAGCACCTAATTGTATATGGTCATGTCCAGTCGCCTGCACGATATCAGTGCGACATAAGCTGCCACTTCCCATTGTCCTTTTCGAGGTAATGACACGCATGGCGGGGAATGTCTTTGAAAAAATGAAATTGCAAGTGTAATGAAAAACGTGCGCATGCCCTTAAAGGCGACGGCAACGGCAACGGTGACAAAAACGGACCAAACTTCACGGTCTTGTGACCGCTGATATGCAACATGAATTGTTGGAGAAATTTCCACACAAAGTGGGATGGTTTGTAGGCTCTTTAATTTCGCATTTTAAATTCAAAATTGATTGTAGTATCTATGGCAAAAAACACATTTAAAAAAGTAAGAACTTGCCTTTATTTTGCCTTAATTGTCTATCACTTGCGTTTCTTGATCCCACCACGACCTGGGGCACCCTTCCCCCTGCCTTTGCCAGCAGCTTGTGGCTTTGGCCTTTGATTTTTTCGCGTGCTGCGCTTACGGTTTTCAGCTTTGCGCGTTGTATTTTCTTCCTGCTTTCTCTTGATGTGCTCCAAACGCATGCGTGCCTTTACAATCTGCTCGGGCCGACGCATTTCCTTGTCGTTGCCGCTCATGCGTTTTTTCAGCTCAACTTTGGCGTTGTGGCGAGCGTGTCGTCCCACTGGGTAGCGCTGAGAATGGGACAGTGGCTTAAAGTTGTCATCGTCGCTATCCGCATTCTCCCGCTGCAGCTGCTCCTCAATCTTCGATTTCTCCTTCCATTCGTTGTAGCGACCTGTCTTAAAGGAAGCGGGTATCCAGGCGCCTGATTCGGTGCGTATTTTGTTGGAACGCGGATCCTGCACTGACACCATTTTCTTTTTGATGCGATCCCATTTCTTCAGACCTGGCTTGTGTTTCATTTCCGTATTATTGCGATCTACCACTGAGAATTCAGCGTTTTGCGCCTGACGCTCAAATGAATTGATAGCCAGTCCGTCTTCCGTGTGTTTGTCAGCTGATTGATAGGGTATATAGTGCTCGTCATCCTTTGTGTTGACCTTACGCTTCTTCTTTTTCGGTTTTTCCTTATAGAGTGCGTCCATGTTTTGGCGTTTTTTCGGCGCCACGACCTTGTTAAAGGTGCTAGTAATAGTTTCTTCGTCGGCGGTTGGCATACTGGACGATTGTTTAGCGTCGACAGCTTTCTGTGCCGCGTCGACGTCCTCTTCGTCGCGTTGCTGTCGGAACTTTTCGATAACCTCTGCATGTTCTGAGCGCTTCTGCTTCATGACAACAAAAGGCACGGATTTCTGTGTACAGTTCAGCTCGAAAATGGTCTGAAAATAGCAAAATTTGTACACGTGCACTCAATGGTATGATTACAGGCTGATAATTACCCCACCAGGTCGGAAATTGCGCATTTTCACCAAAATATCATGTTTTTCCTCCTGAAGTTTACGTTCGGCGGCTGCTATATCTTCTTTAGAGCCGCCATCCTGGCCATTGACTTCAGCAGCTTGCGCTAGCACCGGCGCAGCATTAAAGAAGTCCTCCAGCGGCTTCAAAGAAAAGAACTTAATTTTCTTGACGCGTGCATTAGCATCCGTGGAAGCTACAGGTCTAGAGCTCAAGTATTTCTTGTATGCATTCTCGCTTGTGCGAAGAACGCCAGCCTATGGAAAGAAGCATTTTATGAGAAACGATTTTTGCGAAAGTACTTGGGTTGCCTTACGATGTGGTGGCTCTTTTTGATGTCGGTTACTGTCAAGTGCTCCTCCTCCAGCAGATCCTGTGGTATGGTTCCCATTACAGAGTTGTCATCAATGTTGAAGGGACGGTTGAGAAACAAGTGTAAGTCCAACAAATGCGCGGTGTCGTCGGTGGAGAATATAGAGTAGGCAGTGCCGGTGCGCCCCGCACGAGCACAACGACCAACCCGATGCACGAATAGCTTCGGCTTTCCCGGGAAATGTAGATTGACTACATAATCCAAGCTAGGTATATCTATGCCGCGCGCTGCCACATCGGTGACTATAAGCACCGATACCTTCTTGTTTACAAATTTTGCTGTGTTTATTTTTCGGGCGGAAGGATCCAAGCTGGAGTATACAGAGGTATTCGATATACCGGCTTCCGTCAGTATCTGTAATGAAATAAGGCGATTAACACGTATCCACGAATAGAAAAAAATCTTACTACTTACAAAAGAAATAAGTTCGACATGGTGCTGGGTTCCCGCAAATACCACAGTTTGTGCGGTTTGAGGTATCACATACTTGAGCAGTACCACAAGCGCCGTGTAACGATCGTCTGGTCGGCAGTACAGAAACTTTAGGGCCAGAGCATCCGGCAGCTTCGACTCCACATCCAAACGTATCAGCACGGGATCACTGAGGCCAGCACGTGCGAAATCCACGAGGAGCTTTGGCAAAGTAGCCGAAAACATAACCATTTGACGGGACGAAGGCAGACGGTGCAAAGTCTCGTTCAATTGCTCACCAAAGCCCATTTCAAACAACCGATCGGCTTCATCGAATACTACATAATCTGTGGAGAGATCGCTTAACATCAGCTAACATACTTTATAACTAATGAGACAGTTACCTATGGAATTTAGTTTCAAATCCATTTCTACACACAGATGCAGAAATCGTCCCGGCGTCGCGACAATAACATCCGGACATGTATGAATGGCTGAGAACTGTGAGTCCATGGAATCGCCGCCCAGCACCAAAATCGTTTTCAGCTCCATGAAACGGCCTAGCTCCTTGATGAATTTATAGGTTTGCACTGCCAATTCGCGCGTCGGCGACAAAATCAAGGCACGTGCTCCTTTTGTGGGCTCACGACGCTGCAACTTCTCGAAAAGAGGTATGAGGAAACATGCGGTTTTGCCCGAGCCGGTCTTGGCCATGGCCACAACATCGCGTCCTTCTAAGATCAACGGTATAGTCTTCCGCTGAATAGGCGTGGGCACCTTATAGCCACGTTTCGTTATGCCTTTTATGAGCTCGAAGCTCAGACCCATGGATTGAAAGCCACCGCTTTTCTTTGACTTGTTTTTGCTCTTGAGAATATCATCATTGCCACCACCTGTTGCCCCGGACTGTTCCAAAGAGGGGAAGCCGGGTATTTCATCACTTTGCTTTTTACGCTGTAAACAATATAGCTAGATTAAAGAAAGCGACAACAAATTAGATTTTACTTACCATCTTGTGCTTTCTAGACGGCGAAACACACGTGCGCGTCCCAGCTGATTCTGTGAAACGATGTGGCATCTCTATGATGTGAGTTTCATGCATACGAGCTATTGCGAGTACTCGTGAGGCGTCCTTTACACATTAATTAATAAATCCAGTTCTTATGTTGAAAAAGATTTTTAATTTAATTTTAAAAACATCTTTAATGGTAAAATATTCTAAAATTACTTCTATGAATTTGTTTAGCGTTTAACAAATGCGTGTCTTATGATAATCAATACATATTTATATAGAATATATAAACTTGAACATACGTTAAATTCATTTTCTCTGCTAACATTTGCGTTTAATTGTACATCACTTAATTACATTTAGCCTAATTGTTAATTTATCGATGTGTTTAAATGAAATTACTAGTTTCAAAACGGAGGCCAAAATATGGGGAAGCAGTCGAAAAGTGTTTAAATTCTAATTAATAGAGAAAATTGATATTTCGTACGTACTATGTTCCATATATACAGTCCGGCTAAGTCAAAACATGTACTAAACTACAAATTCCACATCCGGCTCGGAGTCGCGGACAATTATCAGCTGCTCTAGTTGTTCAATTCGATGCAGCATTTCCTCCTTCTCCCTCTCCACCAGATCAAAGCGACGACGCAGCTCTTCGTTTTGACGCCGCAGTTCATGCAGTTGCCGGCAGATCTCGGATGATGACAGTAGTGGCATGACATTGGGCGCCTTCATTGTGCTCGATTCGCTGCGCATATTGGTACGAAACGTTGTAGGTGTTGTTGTTTTAGTGGTAGTACCATTATTGGTAACAACGGAAACACCTGTTGAGGATAATGGCCGCAACTGCAACGTTTGCACAGTGCCCACCTGGCCGCGGGTACTCGTCGTAGCTGGACTGTTTGTGGCTGGGGTAATGGCATCATTTGACATCTGTTGCTGATCTTCAATGGCTCCGCCTTCCCCTTTCTTATGTACTGTGGGCAGTTTAAGCTGAAAGCATATGATATTATCGGGTTTCTTGTTAGATTCGGATGAATAGCAAGAAGCAATATAATTAAGATACCAAGTGACTAAAATCAAGCTAAACTTAAAGTTAAAAGCAGTTGAAACAACGCCACCACAAACCTGGCGAGACTGCACTTGCCGCATGTTGACCAGTTTCGTGCCATCGGAGAGCTGACGTATTACGCCGGAGCTACATTGGGGGTAGGGGTGGAGATATTAAGATGTAAGTGCAAAGAAATTTCTATTCGTTGTCTTACCTCGCGAGCGTTGCAGGTATTTTTTGAATGCATTTTGTTTGACTATCCCTGCGGCAAAGCTTTTTAAAATCGCTCAACGATATTATACGTATGTTCTACATTAGAAAAACAGATCATTATTTGTACTGGTATTAATTTAACATGAGGCAAACCTTATTCTTTGTCACCCCTGTCGTTGCGGTTGTTGATGCTTCGCTTCTTTTGATAACATTCATGCGTATTTTTTGAGGCGACTGATTTGAGATGGGCCGAGAGGGAACGGCTTTGCCCAAGTTGTTGTTATTTTTATTTTGGCTATTGCTGATGATGCCATTTGTACCTGGCTTCGTTTTCGTTTCGTGCAGCAGCATTCGGCCTCCCTCAGAGAGCACCAGTTGTCTTCCGTTTTGCAGCGCTGTGTTAAGCATTTCCTTTGAGGCATCATCGTCGTTGTCCTGCATCATGTCGGCAATGCCATGTGTCTTAAGCATATTCAATGCCGAATCTCCCAGCATATTTGTATCTGTGGATCATAATATATATAAATATTTACAGAGGAAATGCTGAGAGATGGTTGATGATGACTCACGTCTGCGCAAGTTTTCGAGAACATCCATCCTATCTTCTACAGACATGTCTCCTTCTTCCACGCTCTTGGCGGGCTCCGGTTCCTCCATAATCGAATTGACTGCCTCACTGGTTTCCTTCTGAAAATTGATGACCCCTTTAGTACAATAGAACTGAAATATGTTGGTTTCTATTGGATTTTTAAATTTTGTTACAACCAAAGGGCTTGAGGTTAGGCTTTTGTATCACAAATAAGTTGTTAAATTATTGATGTACATACTTTGCTCTCAAATTTCTTTCGCTGTCGATGGCGTCACGGTTGGAGCAGCAAGAAATCGTATAAGTATAAAAGATTAAATTGGAAGTAAGCGTACAATTTAAATATCTAAGTTAGTAGTGAATTCGTGCCTAATATCTAGCTCAAAATATTGTTAATTGCCGCAGAATCCAGAAACGAACTCACCTCGGTCTCCTCGTTGAGCACACGGTTCGCCTGAGCCCGGCGCGCTGCTTCCAACTCGGCCAGGATGTCTGCCTGCTCTGTGAGCACAGCGAGTCCAATTGGCGTTTTACCAAACTTTGATGCTAAAGTAACATCCGCATTAAATAACAGTAGCAACCGGACAATTTCTTTGTGCCTCTTTTCCACGGCCCAGTGCAACGGAGTCATCCGTAGCTATGTTGAAGAAGAATCAGTAAGCCAGTTAGACGAATTAGTGAGCCCGTTAGTCAGTCGCTTACCATATCACGTGTGTTCACTGCACACTTTTTGGACAAAAGCAGGACCACAATTTGTACGTTGCCATAGTAACAGGCCAAGTGCAGTGGTGTTCGATCGACCTTCGTTTTAGCATCTATGTTAATGCCACCTTTTAGCAGGATTTCGCAGATTTCCACTTGATTGTTCATGGCCGCAAAGTGAAGCGCCGACATGCCCAACTACAAGAAAACATTAATATTCCACGCCCAAGGACTCGCTCAACAAATAAAGACTCACCCAGTCCGAGGCAAAGGGCGCACCGTGACCCAATGCCGCTTTCACGCCCGCTACATCGCTGTCTCGCGCACACTGCAGCAACTGTTTTCCCAAGTCGACGACTGTGGTGGCATTAATTATGTTGCCCTTGTTCAATAGGAGTTCATTCTCGGTGCGCTAAAAACACAAGAAAAGTTTAAGCTCAGCTTCCCGTTCGCAATCTTAAAACCACCACTTGTTACTCACAATCTCGTAGCCCGTCAAATTGGAGAGCTGAGCGAACGGCGCTTGCGCTTCCGTTGGATACACATTTCCATCAGCGCGGAGCGTCGCTACAACTTTGCTGGTGCCCATGCCTAGGCCGCTGCTGCCGGTGTGCATCTTAGCCAGCCCTCAGATTTAGCAGCAGTGAATTCGGCTTAAACAAACATACCAGCACGGGATTCTCCAACAAATACTTAAAATGTTTATGTTTTCTGCACGCACACAAAACTCACAGCGATCTCACTAATATGCGGGCATGTGTGAGTGAGTACAACGACACGATCACCTGCAGCGCGCGCCGAGGGTGAGAGTAGTATGGCAACATGGGCAGTGTTGTTAAGCGTCGAATTGTAAACTTGAAAATCGGAGGTAAATTATGCAGCCGCTAACATTTTGTCACAAACGCGCATTCTAGTTCTAATTCAAAAACAAAATGTAACGCAATTTTTTGTAGCTAACACAACTTAAAGCGCTCCACTAATGATGTAGAGCTGCCAGACCAGTTAAATAATGTACATGAAACAGCTGTTTTACCTGCTCTTACTTTGCATCACTAAATGAGTTCCACACAATTTATATATTTTTTTGTGATTTCATCGTCGGACTAAATGAATTTGCCTAAAATAGGCCACACATCGTTTTATTTGTATTTAATTGAAGTCTTAAAACAATTCTCGCACTTTAAGCTACCACTTTATTACCGAAACACGCTTGCCCGTAATATGTACCACCTTAGAGCGCGAAGTGGTTATATTCCTAAATTAAAATTTTAGCGTATTTCCAATAAGCGCACAACACAATCGAGTCTCTTAAAGTTACAAACAATTCAATTAGAATGAATCCGCGTACATCTTAACAGCTGCAAATCCGTAAAAAAAGAGACACGCGAAACGTCTTGTATACTTTTGGCCAAGAAACAAGTTACTGCTGCCATATCGATGAAAATTGCTTACTTCCTGTTTTTAATAAAAGCTGGCAGCACTGTTCTAAAAAAAAATATAGCGCGTGGGCGCGAAACAAAATGACAGTTACAGCCATATTGATAAGAATTAACGGGCGAGATGGTTAATGATTTGGATAAATATATTTATTTATTTTGTATTTGGCATACAGGGCATATATTTATTGATGTTTATGTATACTAGTGTTCGAGTGTATGTTTAAATTTACATAATATGCATGTTTTGTGTTATTTTTATTGAGTAAATTGTTATTATGTATCGATCAGTTTTTACTGGTTTTTTGTTTTCAAAGCGTGCATGCTTCGCTACAAAGAATAAATTGCTCACAATCAGTCATAACTATAAACCACATTAAACGCCTTCGATGCTACGATGCTAGATGCGTACATTTTGTATACGCCGTTATTATTATCATACTTTTTTTGTTTCAAACTTGACATTTTGCGTGCTATTTAATAGTTTCACGGCTTTGTATCATTTTCAAATGCTTTTATTATCTCTTGCTTTTGTTGCCAACAAAAAATTAAAATTTCAGATGGTAGCCCCTAATTAACACTTAATCAAATCAACAAAATTATAGGTATTTCTCAACTTTACCACAAAATCTATTAAATAGTAAATTGCTTAAATAATTTTTCCATCCATACATATTATTTAATAATTTCAATTTGTTTTTCCCCACGGTTTGTATTTTTTTTTTTTTTTTAACTTATGTTGGCCAACTGCAAATGTTTAATTTTATAGTTTAGTTACTAAAGAGAAAATACACAAGTTTCTTTAGAAAAAATTAAATTCGTTCATTTGTTTTGTTGCAATTTGTTTAACGTTAACATTATACATACATACTCGTGGGTATATATTTATAGCTCCTATTTTCCCATGACCAAATTGACAAGGAACCAACTTGAATATATTTATGTTTTGCTTATTTTAGAAACACATTGAGAACTACGATTGGGATTTAAACATTGTCTACATCAAATCGTAATTGCATAACAAAGTGTTACACATATAGTTTGTATTGTGTATAGTATACGTACGATATATATGTATGTCGGAATTTGCTTTTCACTACATTTTGTGATTTTATAGTGGTCGTTTGGATCGATTTTCTATGGCTACCGGAAATGAGTGTCGTTTAGTGTGATCTTGAATTTTTTTTTTAGCGTATACGAGTACTTATGGATTTCTATTATGCTTCAATAAATTCAACAACAATAACATTAACAAATGCCATTGCACAATCTGCTAACGGCTCGGCGCTCTCGAGTTCTGCCTTTTGATGCCCCCCATGCTTATATGCTGGTTAGTGTTCAGTTTGCAAAAACTCTTCATAAAATATTAGTCATAGTTAGAAGTAATTACTTGTATATATGTAGGCAGTGGCTTAGGCGCCTATTTGAAATAAGAGTGGTTTTAGTTTAGTTTCATTCAATATACCGGCAGCAGCCACACACACACTGGCTCATATATGAGCTATATAGAGTGTACATTATATAAATATTGATAGCATACGCACATAGTACTTGTACATAGCGTACAGGCTCATTTGTGTATGTATGCATATATTTATTTGTATATATAGAGTCTACATTTTAAAATGGCTGCTATATAAAGTAAACGTTGCTATACGTATATAAAATTTTGCTTCTTTGGGTTGTTTGCTATTTAACTTGAGTGCAGTGCGAACCGTAAAAGAGCGAAAACATAATAGAAATTAATAACAAAAATACGGGTGGAGCTATAAATTAATAAAAACAAACACGTTTATTAGGGTAATTCAATAAACTTATGACGAGCATCAAACTATATTTACACACATACGAATAGGTATGCACATTTGCCGCAAATTTTTGGCTTTAAAACGCATTTAAAATATTTTGCAAACATATTAAACAGCAATGAGAAGAGTATATTTAAATAAAACTTAGACAAAACTAAAAGGAAAACAGTAAACGGAAACAAATTGAAATACGAGTACATACGTGTACACAGATTCAGCGGCTCCTAATCGTAAATGCACTTTTTACATTATTCCAACAAGTGTATAAAATAATTCATATCATGTACTGTGTATGTATTTTCTTCTATGTGCCATTCTGCATACATTTATGTACTGCAATTTTTAGTAGTTATCTTCAGTGAGGATTATCTTAAACCAGAGAGAGCTTAGGCCGAGTTCGTCTCCGTCTGCTGCTGCGCTGCCGCAGCCTCTGCCAATTCAAGGGTGGCTACACGTGCCGCCGTCAATGTGACGTCCGCATCGAAGCCCGGCTTGTGGGTGGGCGACTGACTGGGGGTGCAGTTCGTGCTCTTGGGCTTACGAAACCAGTTGCCCAGACGGCGACGTCCTAGGGAACCGGTCGATGTGGTGGACAGCGGCTGAGACTGGCTGTTGTCTGCGCTCGCAATGCCATCACGCGACTGTGACTTCTTGGGCAGCGTTTCGCTGTAACGGTACGAAGACTTGGCCGGTGACTCAGGCACTGAACTATCGCCACTGGCCGAGGTACCGCCGCCCAGGGCATGTTCGCAGTCTGGTAACTCGTAGTCCGACTGATCTGAATAGTCGCCGGCGCGCTCCTCATAGTTGTACTCAAAGCCCGTCATCTCGGATACGTAAAGAGCCTTTCCGCCAAACTGCCGCTCCAGGGCGAGCGTGTTGAGGAAGCGATGCTTGCGATTGGCCGACCGAAAACTGAAGTCGTACCATTTATCTCGGGACTCGCAATAGATTCTTAGCGAGTTCTTTATAGTGTGCCCGAACATCTTGCCATCACGCACATTCACGACACGGCAGCGATCCAGAAATATGCGACCCTTGTATATAAAGTGGCTGCGCTTGATAATATCGCGCTTGCAGTAGACCAGCTGGTTGTCGAATAAGAAGAGTGTGTAACTGCTGTTCCAAAGATTTTGCTTCTGCCGCGTGGCATCGATTTGGAGAAAGAAGCGTGTGCTGTGCAGATGCAGCGGCGGACCCTTGAAGTTCTGGAAGCTGGCCTGATGACGCGCAATCGTCTCACTGTGGCGCTTGCCCTCATTGACAGCCTCGGTGATGCCGCGCATGGCCTCCAGCGCCAGGTTGACGGTGTTGTGGGTGTCGGGTATATCCAGCTGACTCACGTCGAGCTGCTCATAGTGGGCAGGATCGGGTTTGTTCACCTCCGACCCGTCCGCCTCGTCTGTGCCGTTTGGAACATTGCCCATGGCCGTCTTGATGATCTCATTTAAATGTAAGGGATATCGGCAAATGCGCTGCACGGGCGCCAACAGATGAGCAGAAAGCGGTAGCTCGGCAAGATTTTCAGATTCGCGACAGCTGCATTAAAAGAAAGGGATTTATTCGTAACTAATTATGGGATTTAAAAATGCTGAGCTTACTTTTCCAAAATGGTGCGTGCATCCTTTACACGATCATAGGATTCGAGCTCGATCAGTGCACGTGGGTATGAGTTGCAGTAGGTGGAGTAGCAGAGGAAGCCTTTGTGCTGAAAAGGAAGGAAGAACCAATATTAACCATTTATTAACCATTTATTTAAAACAACCCCGTGTGGTCATAGAAGTAGGTAAGAACTATTTTCAGAACAATTAAGCTTGATTTTTGAATATCAACGATGATTGGAGCAAATAATGATCACCCAACCGTTCTTATAACAATACTCACCATTTTGAGGAAAACCTTGGCCACCTGGTTCTGTTCGATGCCCTTGCGCAGAGCCTCAAGAAACTTGCGCTGAAACTTATAGATCGCCGCAATGTTTGAGAATATGAGACGAATGCTGTTCGGCGAGAAGATGTCAATGCGCTTACTCATCGCAGGCAGGTAGCTGGGGGTGGGAAGAGAGATAGAATATAATTTGTGTTCAATTATTTCCCCAACACGCAACTTACCCGTCACAAATGGCGGCGAGCAGCTTCACATAATTAACTTCCGTTTCGAGCAGCTCTCGGACAGCACTTCGGCGCAGCACGTCTGCGCTATCCAGTTGAGCATTGAGGCGCGTCAAGGGGAGCAGCGGCATGGCTGGGGGCGACAGGCTGGGGGGCGACTCAATCACTATAGTCGTGATATTGCTCTGATCTACAGTCATTGTGGCATCGGCATCCTCCAGACTGTTGTTGAGCTCAGCTACTGGCACGGGCACATCCTGGCTTGGGACTGGTTGCCCCTGAGTCGCCTTGTGTGCGCTGTAAAATGCATCTTGGTCCGGACAAGGTATGATGCGAACGAACTCTTTGGGGAACCAGCCGAGCTCTGGATCGAGTATTTCTTCCACTATGCTGGCGTCCTCTTTCTTAATGCGTCCGAACCACCAGGGTCCCACCTCTTTCCGCAAGATCTCAATTAGCGCGCCACGCTCCAGTCCCAGTTCCTGCGGTCCCGCCGCCGTGAATTTGTACAGCACTTCCGCATAGATGGGGTAGTAGCTGCTGCCTGTAAGGGGAGGAAAAGAGTTGCTGTTGTAGTTGCTCTGTTGGCTTGTCTGGCCGCTCAATTGAAGCCAATTGAAGCGATTGTGCGTCTCTGCTGTGCAATGAACTTGTCGTCGTCCCCTACACAGTCATCGACTCCACTTACCTTCTTCGTGTGACGCAACGCTGTCACTGTCGCTGTCGTCCAGCTCTGTGCGCCCCATGCCATAAGTCTCCAGGCCATTGGGCTGACTCAGTGAGCGCGTGGGCAGCGATTCGGGCGCCTCGCGCTCGATATTGTTGCCGCTGCCCAGCTGCAATTGCTTGTAGATCTTCGATTTGGCACTACTACCCCCCAAGTCTGCGGATTGGTCCAAAATACTGCCGGCCTTGGCCGAGTTCGTCCGCCGGATTACCCGCGCCTTCGCCTCGGCCGTATTGGGAGTGCTGCTGGCATGGGGGGGTGTTTCATTTTGGACAGACTGTTGTCCACTCGCCGACAACACACGCGCATACTGCTCGTCCTGCTCCAGCTCGATCTGGATGCCCGAGTCACCGGAGTTGCATTTGTCGCGTCGATTGAATTTCGTTTTGCGACGCTCCTTCGAGGAGCGCCAAATGAGTGGCCCGAAGCGATATTTGCCCGAATTTGCATCTCCGATGTCCGCCTCGCTGGCTGCAGCTGCAGCTGATGCTGCTGTTGTGGGATTCGCGGCTGTTATGCAGACAGTTGGTGTGTTGTTGGGCGATGACTTGGGCTTTGTTGTGGCCGCTGCAGTTGCAACATCCCCGGCGCTAGTTGCTGTGGGCGGCAGCTGCGTAATTTGCAATTGATTTTTATTGTTGAAGTTGGTGAGTGTGCGTTTGAATTTCTGCAAAACGCCTAAGCCTCCACTCCCGCCTCCACCGCCTCCACCGCCACAACTGCCACCGCCACTGCTACCGTTGGTTGCGGCAGCGTCAAAGGAGAAGGTGGTTGTTGCTGCTGCTGCTGCTCCTGCTGTTGGTTCATCCTGCTGCTTTGGCTGTGCAGCCAAATGTTGCGTGTTGCTGTCCGTCAGTGTGGGACTTGAAACGGCCCGCATTTGCTGCGACTGCAAGGAAGAGAGAAGGGGACAGTGTAACAATTGCATAAGGCCAGTATAGATAAGCTTTTGCTATTTTAGTTGGTGTTTGTTGCTGTTTGTTGTCTGCTTGCTGCCGATGCTCGCTTACAAAATGAGTTGCTTGGAACCCCAGGCGATTCCTTCTCATGCGCAACCACAAATATCTTATCATTTTCGCGTCGGTTTCGCTTTTTTATTAACAACAATAATGAAGAGTCAACTATTGATTAGGGTGTGTGTGTAAAGGTGTGTGTGTGTGTGAGCGTGTATGTGACACCACAAGAATTTAACGAATGCGAACAACAAGTGGGCTGCTAATACAAGTATAGGCAGGGCTTTGTCGTATCTATGTATATCGAGCACATCATAATTGGTGCTAAAGTGTGCCTTTTGTTTTTGTGTACATTTTTTTTTTGTTAATGCCGAACTAAAAATTTAACGTAATGCGTACATGTCAGCGATAACAACAATAACAATAACAACTCCAACATAAGCAGCTGGGCAACAAACAGCGACAACTTCTGCCACACACCTCGCGGGTATGAGGAATTATGATGAAATTGTGTTTTATGTGGAATTTTTATTAAGTTTTTTATTTTCCCCTGTGTAGTCAGTGTGTGTGTGTATGTCTGTCTGTATGAGTGTATAGTAATATGATTTATTTAAACGAACGAACAGTTGACAGAAAGAAATTTGAAACAAAATAGCAACTGTGCTGAAAACGTCACACGATCAAAGCCCACACACGCTTATCACAAAATGTATTTCGCGAATTCATTTGGGGAGCACTTTTTGGGCCGATAAAGCTACCCTCAATAAATAGCTAAGCTGACTAAGCGTACCAGCTGGTGGGCTCTACACTTTAGCACTACGGAGGGGAGGTGAAATACCTGAAGCAAACGCGCTTGCCACTTATAGCGCCGCTCACTGGGCATTTGATCAGCCAGCGTGCTGTTGGGCAGGCCAAGATGAAGGCGATACCTGGACGAGGCCGATGGCGCCGCCGCATTCTCAGGTGTGCCGGCATCAAAGTCCCAGAACTTAATCAGACCATAGGTGTCCATCAGTGTTGGTATTATTAGCTTCTTCATGGCGTTGCGAATTATGCTGGCGTGTGGCAAATGTTGTTTACTTCACTTTGCAGTGAAAACCGCAAAATTCCATGGATATGGATATGAGGAGAAGAACGCTCTAAAGCTGCCGCTGGCAGATGTCAACGGGCCAAGCGATAAATAATAACTGATTGCATGGCGGCAGTGAGAATTTCAAATATGACGGCGACATCGACATCGACGAAACGGCAATGGCAACGGCAACGCCAACGACTCTGCCAATTTGCTTGGCATCAGGCGGCGATGTCTACGTCAAGTGTATGTAGATATGATATATACATATGTGGGTGTGTGCGCGACCTATTGTTGCTGTGTGATATATACTTACATTTATCAACACGCATTGATAAACAGAATAATGCCGTCGCCCTGCATTGCATTGGCTCTATTGGTTATTGTCTGTGCTAGCTCAAGGGCTGGTTCGTGTCTCTGCTCCGTTTAAGTGTCTTGATTAGATTAAGGCACGGAAATTGCATCGCCACTCGAATGCAAAACGTCATCGGCTCTATCTCTATCACTGGCGCTCCGATTGCGCTCCTCGTCCGACTGTCTGTGGGTCACCATCAATGTCAGCCTGCAGTCCACAATTGTGAGACGTGGCTTTGTTGTGCTTGATTAGCTTTTGGCCTCGACCATCTAGATACACCCCTGGCTGGTGGGTTATTTGTTATCCTGAGACAATGTTGGGATAACATAACGGACGAGGGAAAGTTGCATCCGAGTTAATTACTGGCGCGTTCAAACAATTAAAATAGTCGCCTCCTCCTCGTACCCATACCCCTACACATGCCCATCACAAATTCAATTAATTTACGTCACTTTTTCTATGCGATAAGCTTTGCAGTGCAGCATTACTTCCCGGCTCTATGCCCATGCTTGATTAATGCTTTCATAGGGCTACAGCCACACACGCACAGGTTCCTCCATGCCATTAATCATAGGGTGGAGAGGGGCGGCATGTAGGTGGAGGGGCGGGGTGCAGGAGACAGGGAGTCTGTGCCCGCTTAACAAATGCACCGAAATATTCGGTATGAAGTCATAAAACAATTTCGAAATGTTGGACAAAGAGAGAAATAATTTCTTTCCTTGCATTCGAATGTAACTTGCACTTTCATTGAGCCCTGCAGAAGTTTATGGCAATGCCATAAACTGTTTTAGGGTATGCATGTGTGTGTGTGTGTGTGCGTGTGCCCCATTAAAAGCCAGAAAAAGTTGTTATCGCCATTGTACTGCATGTGGCCTGAAACAGAGTTGTAAATGATTTTTAATGACACTTCATGTGCCAGCGGCCGTTGTGAGGAGACGATGGAGATGGAGACACAGAGATGCAGTTTAGTTTCGGCGGGGAAAGGCGGAAAGGGGGAAAGGGGAAGGGGCCACGCGACGGGCTCGCAACCATTATAGGAAATTGTTGTAAACTTTTAATTACAATTAGTTGGCGGCGCTTTTATGTCGGTGAACAGTGCCACAAAAGTTTGTCCACTGCCGGTTTTTTGTTTGCATAGCCTAGATCTATGGTCAGCTTATCAGGCACTTGGTAGTTATTGCCGCTCCAAATTAAACCGAGCGCCGGAAGACTAGAACTTTGGCGATTCTTGTGGGAATACTATCATGCAGCATTAACTCGAAATCAATTGACTTAGGTAGAGAGCTGGGAACCCAAACATATTGCATCTGTTTCTTATCACAAACATCATTATCCACATTCCCGCTCGCATTCAAATCCACACGTGTTGCCCAATATATGAACGAGAGGAATGAAATGTTGCGGCAACTCCCGCTGTTTAAGACGAAAACGCATTAGGCGTTTAATTTATGAGCGCATTGCACTTGGATTACGTGAAAAGTAAACAAAACATGGAAAAAGAGCGAGTTGGAAATGCGGACACGAAAAACCTCATAGACACTTACCCTCACAAGCGGAAATGCCGTGTTATCAGATACTTGTACCTTGTTTTGGCTTTGCTTCCTGGCTTCAAGTGATTTAAAAACACATTTCAACAACATTTGCATATAGAAAGCATTAAGGACATAAACAGGATTTGCTAACTAAAACATTTTCAAGTACACAAAGAAAAGGAGAAAACGCAAACAAGCCACATTGGCGATTTGCTGGAAAGCATGTGTTTGCTTTGGAAACACCCTTACAAACTGACAAGCTGAACGATTGACAAACTGTCCAACTGAGAGGTTTACGGCATGTCGAGTCGCGTCTAATGATCCGACTAATGGGTTGTCCGAAATGCAAATGAATTAATAGAAAAGAAAATAGTCGCTGCTTGTGGATCAGAGTTAGGCTTGGTCGAACACACATACAATTTCCTCATTAGCTTTTCGGTATTTTGCAATCATGTCATGAACTAAGGATATTAAAGGAATTGCAAGTCTTTACTAAAACACAATTCTCTACCACAAGTTATCTGTTTGGGGATTGACATTTGAAGGCATACGAGTACTGGGGAAGTGTACTTGTATGTATTGGTTTTGCTTCATTGTTCGAATGTTACTCTTAATTCAATATTTCTCTCAAAAGAAAATCGAATAGTACTTAGCATGTTTTATGAGCAGAGGGGACTGTAACATTCAACATGATTTAAGCTCACACGGGGTACAATTTTCCACCTGGAGTAGGAAGGATTCCTTTTTAAAACATTTGGAGTGTCCCTCGCACTGGCCAGTTAATGGCAGCTGCTTTGCATTGCAGCTGATCATCGATTGAAATTGGTCTGGAGGCCCAGATGGCTGCTGTCAATGTCTCTTTTTAGTTTGTTTTTTGTTTTTTTTTTTTTCATTTGGTTCGTCTTTGCTCAAGTTTCAGGTTCATTCACAGCAGCACCTGAATGTGTTGCAGCTTTTAGGGGCTTCTTCTCTGTGCCATTGCACTTAGGATGGTAAGTCATGCATGACTCTTGTCTTGGGTTGTGGTTGCCTCTCCATTCATTGCTCCAGAGTCTTGGACAACTGGCTGACTGAGATAGGAGTGCACGTCACAGCTAAGTATGCTGCTTGCGGTTGCTGATACTGATATCTTTGATTCGACATTTATTATACAAATATTGATTGCATTAGACTACCAGACTAATTAACTCCACTGTGACCTGGCAGCCGCAGAGTTTGAGATTCCATTCAGGGTCCATGGGTCCATGGGGAGTCGTTCAAGTGCACTTAAATGCACAAAACGTGCATTGTGCTTCAGAGAAAGAGCACTCACAAGTTTTCAAGGTGCTGCCTTATGTTTCTATTTTGGAATCGTCGTAAAATTGCATTTAAGTTTTTGTTTTCTGTGCTCCGGCTATAAAACTTTGAATAGTTCAAGTTGAATGTGAACGTTGCTTATAGCTTACATGACATTGTGCTCCACAGCACAACTGCTTCTGCAGCGCCGCAACCATAAAATAGCAGCGGGTTTAATGCCGCAGCTTTACTCGGATGTTACTTAAAAACACAGATACGATGGGGGAGAGGCGGGCTGGTGCTTTATACCGCTGTGGGTTGATGAACTACACATCGATGTGATAGTGCCAACAGACAGGCAGACAACTCCAATAAGTTGTCAAAATAATGAGGCGCATTATCTCTAGAAAACTGCTTTCCCCTCCACGTATTGCCTATGCTGCCTTTTGCTGCCACTCCATCATCTTGTGCTGCCCTTGGCCTTCGGTAAACAAACAGACACACACACATGGAGGCAAGTTCGGGAAAACTTGCCAACATAAGCCTGCGCGTGTCATTTGCTCTGACAAGCTCGGGTCCGACTCCAATATGTGACACAAACCAGACATTTGTGATTCAAATACAAATCGCAGCTGTTGCAGTCGCACACTCGAAATAAATCAACGGGATTGTGTCCAGAAAGGAAGCAGTAACGTGATACTTTCAGCTCAACCCCTCCCATGTGAGAAAAGTCAGAAATGGAAACGGACAGGCTGTAATATACAATAGGGTTTGACACTCAAAAAGCTGTTGTCCTGACGATTGGGAAACACAAGCCACCTGCTTTATTCTGAGATCTGAACTACGTATGTATTTATTGACTGACTGCCTGCATCTGATTGTAAGTGAGCCCAAATGGCATTTGCTTAGAACACTTAATAAACTCATATACGAAGAACAAAGGCTTATACAAGTATTTATTGTTAATCCCCAAATGACTCGTTAGTTTTGAGTTCCCTGCATCTAAGCTACAAGAATTAGGCGCCGGGCCCACTTACTCACTCGTATCAGACCGACCAGCCTATCAATATTTTCAATGGCGGCGTCGTTTTGAATATAAAAATATCATGATCGTCAGTGGGGCCCACTTATCAGTCTGGAAGCAGCAAAAGCAAGAGCGATAAAGAATGCTACCAAGTGGGCCAAGTTACATGAGTGCCCTTCTGGTGTGTCGTTTATTTGGGTCAAGACTGAGTGTGGGCCTCATTTCGAATGCAGCTGCCTTGGCTAATTATTTGGGCTGTCTCGGCTGACTTTCTACTTTTTAAGTGCAGTACATTCTCTCGGGCCCTTCCCCGCTTATGAGTACTTGTTCTGACCATCCAGTACAAATATTAAACTCGTGGAAATATTCAAATTTAAATTTTTGCCAATTGGTGTGCAACATATTTCTGTAGTTGTGCTTGTTGGGGAAATGCACGTTAAGACTTGAATTTGTATTTAAATATTTACGAATTGTCATTTATTTTATAGCTTGAATTCTAGATTTTAATTACAGGTACAAGTTGCCTGCAAATAAAATTAACGGAAGGGTAACGATGGGCAGGTCTTGGCTCAACTATCCTAAAAATCGCCCTAAATAGGGGGAATATAATGGTTTTTATTACCAGTGGCTCCGTCCTGGATACTACGTTTAATTACTGTGCAATCAACAGTATTGTTAATATACTACAAGAGTTTGTAATTTACGAGTTGAATGCTAAAGTCGCGTGAGTTTAAATCAACCTTCAACCCCTAAACCCACCGCCCTCCATCATCCCTTCAAATTGAATAAACTTTAGACATGGGGCTGCGATTTTAACGGATCTGTAGATCTCAGAATAGCATTTGGATACATTGTATAACACAGAACGGCATACAACTTTATCCTGTGAGCATATTCTATCGGTTCTTTTTTCAGATTTCATTCAATGACTACTGGGGGTTCCAAGAATATCTACTCTGTATTCGTATTCTACAACTCTTTAAAAAATTGTAAACACTTACCAGTCCCAGGGAAAGGCCACTCCTTATGCCGATTATGTTGACGCCATCGTTGCTGCTTCTGGGCAGACTGAAAAGAGGCAGGTAAAGTGGAAATTTCATTGTCAGTGAAATATGCAACTATAGCTGATGAGTTAAGGTATATTCCGCGAATATTTGCTAAATAGGTGTAGTTAAGACAGTAGCCGGCCGAGGGTCGCTTTTGAAGGCAGACAAAGGCAATTGAGCAAACTTTAAGCGCCGCCTTGCGCAGGATTCAGTATCGGGAACTCAATGGTGGGAAATTGCGTTACGTTTTCGGATGTCGGCAGGTACCTTGACCTTGCGTAATACGCTATAAACTTATATGGCCACCCATAAAGGCAGATAATGACGGCAGGATGCAAAGCAGTAAACAAATATTGGTGTTGCAATGTATTGCTGTCCGGTTTTATGGCTGGTCAGAATTAGCGGGCTCATAAAACTGGGATGGGTCGGCATCGGGTTGCGTGAGAAAATGTGCGGCGGGCGAGAGTGTTGAATGTTTATTGTGGAAAAAGGATGTGCAACGACAGGTACATGTGTACTTATGTGTTGCAGACAAAATTCCAATAAATCTGATTGTCAAGGATAAAGCTTGTTACCGAAAGAAAGGCTGCTCGGCCGAAATCCAATCAAATATATAAGCTTTGCAATCGAATGTGGAAGATTTCCCTGTGCTTTTACTAAGGACACTATCCTTGAAAATTCCAAGAATTGTGATGGCGGAAGAGGGAGACGAAGACGAAGACGAAGAAGGAATGTTGAATCAACAGGACATGCTGGCGCAAACACAAATACACTCGCATACACAAACATCGGTGTAAAGTAGTAACCAAAAGAGCGCACATAGTTGCCTTTGGCTATTCCTTTGCATAGCCCACACTCCTTTGCGTGCCGTCCTTTTTGGGAAGAAACATCAGACGGCAGCAGGAGCGCTCGGCATGCAGCAGAAGGCATCGTTGGCATCGCCATTGGCATGCCGTGTGCGTGCGGCTAACAAAAAACGGATTAAATCTGGCATGCGTGAAGGAATGCAATGGCCGGCCGAGCTATGCCTAGACAGTAGGCAGGCACTAGACCCAAGGCCTGCTGGATGCTGCCGAAACGATAAGACGGCATATGGCTGTGCATTTTCCGTTTTTCAGAGCTGTTGTTATTGTTGTTGCTGCTGTTGTTGTTGTTGTTGTTGTTGCCTTTGATGTACAACATACAGGTGAGTGATGCAGTGCCGAGTTGCTGCTGTCTTGTCTGATCCAGACAGGCCGGACACATGGACGGATGGACCCTGATGGATATCAAACACTGCTCTGCACAAACTCTGAGTAATTACGTAAATGCACAAATCGAAATCGAGTCAAATGTACAAGTATATGCTGTCCATTCGAATGCACACACAACAGAGTCTGTCGGCGATGTTTCGTCTGAATTGAATTCAATATGGCAGCATGCATGCATACGAGGACTCGTGTGTTGCAGCATAGGGGCTGCTTGTTTAGGGCCACACACGCTTGCCGGCTTCGGTTCCATTTATGTTGCATAGTTTGTTAGAAAGTGCATTTTATAATTGGGACTAATGATTCATATTCAATGGAACAGAATGCTATGCTGTGTTTAACCCAACCCCCATTAAATAGGGGTTTTGCAATAGGGATCTTCTTTCATTCGCCTTGTTAGGAAGCAATTTATTTCTACTCTCCATTCACTTAAAGCCACTTAGTTGGGTGATTCAATTAACACTTGTCTCACCGTTGCATGGTATTAAAACGCTTGTTTCTTGAATATCTTTTGCCCGGTGTGCTTGGCTGCGATTTGCACTTGTTTATATGGACACTGTATGCACTTTTTTGCTTCTTCATGTTCATTTTTATATCCTTTTGTGTGTTCCGAAACGAGTTGCTGCTGCTATTATTCTGAGACGCTCCAACAGGCTGCGGCACTCGAAATTGACGCAAAACGATGCGTTCACTATATGTGACCATTACTCTAAACAATTTCACAATTCAAATGCGAATTCCCTGAGGTATTCTAGAATATTTCGCACAATGCGCGACCTCTTTCCGATCCGTGCGCGCGTTTCTTTGTACAGACGCAGACTGAGCCACAGGGCTGAAGTTATGAGCCGACCGACCCGCATGCTATAGGACTTTGGTTCCTGAGCCGATGTTGAGCATTGCCAAGCAGCACTTCCTGTCAGTTGAGTTGCTCGAGTTGCTGGCTAGCTGGGCGCGCACACACACATTAGGGTAGGTATGTAAGTCGGGCAGGCCTACGATTTTGAGTGACTCTGTGAGCTGTGAGCTGCGACCTTTGGCTCTGGTTTGCTTCCCCGATACATACTTGTGTACGTATTCGCAGCTGACAGCTGCTGCTTTGAAGTTGTCTAGTTTTAATGAATTGTTGTTGTTGTTCCGCTTTTATTTTCACTGCCATGGCTTGGCAAAGTCCTTGAGCAGGCACCTAAACAATAACCACTGGAGCAACAGCTACAATAGACCGTCCTATTGCTCCCTGTCTGTTCTTGACAGCTTTCCCCGTGTTGCTGCCTCGGTCTGCCTGAGATGTAGATATAGCCAAGGACTTGTTAACCTTATGTTTTGAACTCGAAGCTGCAGCTGCTTTGGCGCGGCTGTGGCAGTGGCAGTGGCACAGGTTTAATGCATATGCTCAAGCAGTCGCACTCAAAATGTTACTCAAACGCAACTCAAATTCGAAAAGGATAATAGTAGGCACGTGTGTGTGTGTGTCTTTGTAAGAAACGGAACATCTGCCGGACTGGCATGGAAACCAGTTTGCATTGCTCAGCGAGAGCGTCGAAGCCTCCGAATTATGAGCGCACCCTGCCATGGCTCTGCTCCTTAGCGTGTGGCAGCCAAACAATAAAATATATTTTATGCTGCTATTAAGCGAAAACAGCCAACCAAACCAAGCCAAACCAAATGAAACCAAAACTGAAACGTGTTGTATCTGCTGCCAATGCTATTTAGCATCCACACGTCCACAGTTATAAGATGCAAGTACATACATACTTGTACATACATATGTGTATATATGTAAGGTTCCAACATTATGAGCTTTTCGCCATTTGAAGCACCTACACCAAAGCCATTGGCCTCCTCGGATACAGCATTGTACGGAGCCCACTTGAGTATTTATGAACTCGGCTTTCGAGGATGTGCAAATGGGTTAATAGTTTGGTGCCCATGGCAATGGCTGTTAAGAGTACATACGGGCATACATACTCGTATATGACTGCAGAGTTCCTGGAAGGCATTTAATATCCCCATAAAAGGGACAAGAGTGCCTCTTCTCTAAATGCCATTTGACACGCTCTTTCAGTCTATTCAAGTTAATTGAAAAGTTATGCTAATAGTTGTACAGTATCGATTCTTGGGAAAACGAGCGAGATCTTCAGTTCTCTCGGTTGTCAACATATGACGCTGTTATGGAGCCATCTGCCACATCATTGAGTGTTCCGAGAAAATCACTATAGAATCAAAATTGACAAATTTTTACTGTTGAAGGAGTTACTCTATTAAGGTCGTTTGGAGTCGAGGACTATTTTTAGCTCAATTTTAAATTGGTTCTTTGTTTTCTTGCCAAACTATTGCAAAAATATTGTAATCTGTACAATTCACACCCAATTAAATATTTGCTGATATCAACACATGTTTGTAACAAGTCGCTCACCAATCTATTAGTAGGTTATAATTACTAATTGCTGTACAGAGGTCCAACAGTAAGTAAATCACAATTCAATAGCTATGAAGACATTTTCTTGAGTGTAAAATATTGCATCACCTGCCAACCATCCACCACTCCTAATACACACATTTATTCCTTGGGCGGAACTTACCACAAGACACTGCAAAATGCGGAAGTGCATTTGGTGGCGGCGTTTCCATAGTTTCGTTGAAATTTGATAACCGCCCGCAAATGGAAGAGACAGGCGCCTCCCTTTTGAACGTGTGCTCTGGTGCATTACAAGAATACGGAAGACAGGATATTTGCTGAAGAAAAGTCGAGCGCAGTTGAATTATCCACATACCCACACTCATATGTATATTTATATTTGTGTCGATGCAGGTGGTGGAAGTGCATATGCTTCTAAGAGGATTCAGAATAGAATCAGAACGAAGCCGGCGACATGACGACGCCGCCATACACACCACATACAAGCACCACGGAAGTATCTAAGGCGAATGTGTTTAAAAGGAATGCAGCATAGGGCACCACTTAAGCGACACTTAAGCCAGATACGAGTATTGCGCATAGGGCTAGAGTTACAGGAGAGGCGGACGTTGGAGCTGCAGAGACATCTGTGCAAATTGATTCATAAATAACCGGCCTAAAAATGCCGCAAGGTTACAGCCACATTGTTGGCTCTGCCCAAACTTGGCCAAGGCAACTGATAAGCACCGGCGTGCTGGGCCTTTATTTCTTTTTTTACAAGGTGCTTGTTGCAATTTCAACAAAGATACTATACATAAGTATAGCCATATGTATATACATACAGTCAGAAAGTCCGCAGTTGGCGCAAAGCAAAGGGCAAGGTGAGCTCGGAAACTGGTTACCACATACATACATATATGCGAGTGTGTATATATGTATGTACATACATTTATTTTGTGAAACAGGTAGTTACCAGTCAGCTTCGGCAAGACGCCCATTGACGACTACCTGTGCCATTCTGTGTCGTTCTGGCCGAAAAGGCGCAAAAATTGCAAGCACAATAAGAAGGCAGAGTCGGTTTATTTCATGGTCCCTTCATCGGTCAACTGGCCGCAGTGTGTGGCAGCTTCGTCACAGCCACTTCCACTTTTTAGATAACCACATTCAGTGAACGTGCAGCGTATCTAAATTTGCCTAATCCTTGGGATTTGCTGCACACCGATTGCTGAAAAAACGCCTTAAATTGTGGCACAAATTGCCTTCATTTGTTGACGGCGGCAGGCAACGAAAAGTGTCGAGTGTGAAATTTTTGTTTGACAAACTGAGTCACGACCCCAGAACTGGTTGGTTGTTAAAACTCAATTTTGGGTTTTTACCCAG